TCTCGAGGACTGCATAAGAAATATAAGTCTAAAATAATTCAGTTGAACAAAAGCAATTGAGATTTTAAAAAGGTTTGGGTTGATTATAAAAATCTTTTCAAGTGAAAAAGGAAAATTGACTAAGTGGTTTGAAAATATATGAGTAACATGCTAGGGAAGGTGTATGATCTGACTCAGTAACAACCCTGAATTAACACTGCAACAACTTATTGTAACCAACTAATTACCGATTCTTTAGAATGTTTACTCCTAAGTCCTTAGTGAGAAGAATTTTAATCACCTATTCTAATTCCCACGTCCATAGAGAATTATAAGTGAGATTAAGCAATCAACTATCAAGAATTATTCTGATTCCTATAGGGTATCCCTAGTTCTAGGGGATATCTACTATAGGATGATCAAAAGCAAAGCCTTAACAACGGTGGTCTAGCCTAATCATTAATCGTAAATCAAATCCTGTTGGTCCGACAGGGAAAGCATTAACAATAGCTAGAGATCAAATCAGTTATTAAACAAAGGAAATGTCATTGCAATACTAATATCAAAGTCATTACAGATTGAAATCAGGGAAAACCCCTAGCATTGAGGGGTTTAGCTACTCATAATATTCGAAGAAAATACAAAAGAAAAACTAGACATTACAAGATAATAGGTTTCTTTGATCTTCAATTGCTTCCGCTCATGAAAACCTTCAGTTCCCCAATCACCTTGATATCCCTAATCCTGATTGTGTAATTCTTCTTTGGTCAAAAAGTCTTGTTTTCCTTCTCAAAATCTGTCTTAAATACTCCCAGGTCCGACACAGTAATAGAAAAATACCCAAAATACTCATAGGGATCACAGAGGCCCAAAAAATCAGAAAATTGGAAGATGACTCGCTTCAGCCAACACGGGTCGTGTCAGACCCCTGTTTGACTTTTAAAACTCTTCCGAATTACTGTTGTTTTTCCCGTTTTTTGCTCCGATTCTTCTTGATTGTGTACCTGAACTTAAAACAATGGAAATAGCAAACCAACGCAAAAAATGCGATAAAAGGAAATAAAATGCAACTAAACGTATAAGATAATTAGCTAAAACTCATGGTAAAGTAACGTATAAAAATCACTCATCAGAGCATGAGGATAAGGTAGCTGTTGTGCAAGCTGATTGATCATCTTTTCTTTCTCTTATCTTGTTTTCTGATTTTTTCAATTGTCACTCAAATCCTTCTCATTTTCAACTACCTCTTCCTCAATTTATTTATCTTTTAATTCCTTCTCATTTTCTTCCTCTTGTTTTTCTCTTCTTTCAACCACAACCATTTCTTTCTCCGCATTTTCACCAACTCCAGTTTCAATCACTCTACTCCTTGTTGTGATTGCGTTGCAATGTTCCTTTGGATTTGTCTATGGGGTGGTTGTGAAGGTACCTTCTTGTTGGTCTGCCAGGTGCTTTGCAATTTGTCCAACTTGCGTTTCCAAGTTCCTGATCGAGGCATCCATATTCTTTTGATTTATAATGGATAATTGCATGAATTAGTTCAACGTGTCTTCCAGTTTGGATATTCTGTCTGGCTGCGTTTTATGTTGCGGTTGTTGATGAAAGTTCTGATATTGGTTAGCCCTATTTAATGCTCCTGCTTCTTGCCTCCAACCTTGACCATAGTTGGTGTTATTTCTACGTTGATAGTTCTGGTTTCCTTGGTATGGTGTTGTCCTTTGTTGGTTTTCCATGTAATTGACATCTTTATTCATTGGAGGGAAAAAACCTGTTAGATGGTCTCCAGTGCATAGCTCGCACAAAGCTATTTGTTGTGGTTTGTTGGCTGATCCGTGCATCTCCTTGAGCTGTTGTGGAAGTTTAGACAGTTTCTTGGTTAATTCCTTATCTGTTTGAGTGAGCAGTTTGTTTTTTGTTAGTATTGCATCATTTGGGCCTAATTCCGACAGTTATGGTTTCCTTTGTGTCGTTCCCTCGTTATACTGAACTTGACGGTCATTGAGAGTCATACGATTGATGATATACAACACCTCTTCTACACTTTTGGATAGTAACGAACCACCGATAGTTGCATCAAGTAGAAGCTTTGGTTGTGGTTGTAATCCGTTGCGGAAGATGTGGATTTGTGTGAGTTCGTCGAAATCATGATTCAGACATTTCCGTAGCATAGACTTACAGCACTCACATGCCTCACATAGAGTCTCCGTTGCACTTTGAGCAAATGAGACTATTGTTGTTTTGGCATCCATGATAACATGTAGGAAGAACTGATTCAAAAATTTTTCCTCAAAGACATTCCAATTGGTCATGGTTTGAGTGGGTTGGTTCAGATACCAATCATTTGCTTTGTTAATCAGTGAGTGCGGAAACAATCGCATGAACACTGCTTCTTCTTCCGCTTCAGGTGCTTCCGACGTACTAGCCAATTCGTAGAACTTGGTGAGGTGAGTTTATGGATCTTCATGATCTAGGCAAAGAGGTTTGCATAAATGATATGCAATAATCCTGTTTTCATTTCAGTTTGTCGGTTGGTTGGATTGTTAGTGAGGTGAGGCAACCATCTTGGGCTGCTTTGACAAGGTCCTCCATTCACGATTCCAGGTCCACCTTATGCTATGGTTTCTTTTGTTAAATGTGTTAAGGTGGAAGCTCCTTTCTTTCGAAATCTTTGTTTGGCTAGCTTTTTCTGCTTCTTTGTTTGTCGTTTATTTTGTCAGATTGTTTTTTCGATCTCAGGATCAAAAAGTAATAAGTCCTCCGATTTTGTACCTCGCATACACAAAGCTTGCCATTTCTAGCCAATACAATGTTAGGAGAATGTAAGATAAAGAAAAGAGAAAAGATATATATATATATATATATATATATATATATATATATATATATATATATATATATATATATATATATATATATATATATATATATATATATATATATATATATATATACAACTTTTAACAAATGTACAACTTAAAAAGATATCAACAGTCATTTTGTTCGTAATATCTAAACGTCAGTCCCCGACAACGGCGCCATTTTGTTGTTGAGTAAACCAAAATAAAATATTGAATATCGTATCCACAGAGACCGACGTGATATTACCAACGTTGAGACAATTGTTATCGTTTTCAAGTAAAGTTTGTAAATTGGTTTGTTTGAAGTAACAAAATATAAAATCAAAATTTGTTAAAGTAAAGTTTAAATGATAGAAAACTTGTCAGGATTAGAATTCCGCTACCGTGCACGTATGACTGTGATTGATACTTCTTTAAATAAACTTGTTTTTCATCTTATTTTCATTAATTCACTCATAACAGCATATATGTTTATATGTTTGCTGAGATTTCAATTGATTTAATTTAATCGATGATTTCTCAATCAATTAAACTAAACAATCGCATTAAAAATCGAATATCGTTTTTGAAAGTTAAACCCTTAGTTCTATGTCTAGAACATAACACTTAACCGATTATAATCTTTAGCTTTAATATGAATGTATTTTTCAATTACAATTCGTATTCACAAGTTTAGATTGACAAAACAAAGATTTAATCGATAATCATGAATAACAAAATTTCATTAAAGAAGGAATCAATAACAATACATACGACTATGGTAGGTTCCTTCCAATCCTAACAAGAGAGGAGTTAGTTATCCATTGTCATGGTAGATTGTACAAAAAGGTAGAATTGGAGATGAATTTGCATCAAGGATGATCTCTCGATTCTTGATGTGAACCCAGCTTGATTCTTTCGACTCTCTTCTCCTACTAAAATTATTATAATCATCTATTACAAGGTATATTTCTAATGTGATGATTCTCCAATACTTCTGTTGCACTCCTTTTATACTGGTTGAGATGAGAGACTTTTGTTATGCGAAGTTTTGGTCGCTATGCGAAGTCAGCTTGCTTAACTATGAAGAATTTTAAATCGCCCCTGGGAACCACCATACTTCGCTGTGTGAAGTACAGTTCGCGTTGCGAACTATCCTCGCATCTGTCGCTTCAAGCGAAATTGAGTGTTTTTGCTTCTGTTTTCTTTCTGTTGTTGCTCGCTTCTCCTTGCGCCACGACCTTCGCGTAGCGAAGTGTTTCTCCGCGATGCGAAAGTTGCATGGCATGAATTCTTCTTTCTTGTAACTGATGTTTTCCTTTGTCAATTCCTACAAAAACATAACCATTCAAAAGTAACATTCTTTTGGGATCATGGTTAGTCAAGTTTCATCATTTATAGTTAATAGAAACAAACATTTATCAAGTTTTCACCAAAGATTTTGTCAACTATTGAACCTCCATCATTCACCAAAGATGTAATTCTAAACATGTTTATAGCAACGGGGTGGTACCGTCTTCCCCAGACGCACATTATTATTTGTCTCCACCGCCAACCTCCAACTCAAGCCATGCCTCTCATCATCAACCTCGGACGAAGACAATCTAATTCAAATCTGATCATCATCATCTAGAGTTTCTGATAAGGACGTGGCTTTTGGTTCTGCCAATGTACCTTCAATACTATTATCATCGTCTAAAATTACCATTGTTTATTGAAAATAATTGTACTACCATTATTTATTGAAAATAATTGTACGACAACTAATTAATTTTTGTGGTCCGGGCACAACTGATTCATGAATGACATCTAAGAGATGATTCTATTGTTGTGCTTTCTTTGCTTTGTTTTTTGTTTCTTGGTTCATCCTTTGATTGTCCAGTTTCAATATTTATAATAATTTCATACATAATTTAATGTTATCAAGGGATCAATTAAAATAAAAAAGCACCTTAGTTTTAGTTTCTTTCAATTTAATTAGGGATTTTAAGTTTGAATTCAGATCCAAAAATGATGTTGTGTTAAAGTAGAGTTTTTTAATTCATGTGATTATCATTTTACTCCATTTGAAATATTAGTATGTCACAGTATAAAACACCAGCCCCTAATAATAACTCTCATAGGTTCAAACTAACTTAAACCAAGCATTACCTTTAACCATATTTGGGAAGGAAAAGTGAAAATATGGGCTCAGAAACCACACCACAACTTCCACTAATTGACTTCAATAACCTCAACTTAGAAACCAAAAGTCCCAATTGGGAGTTAGTGAAGTCCCAAGTTTACAAAGCACTAGTAGAATATGGTTGTTTTGAAGCAATTTTTGATAAAGTTTCTTTAGACCTTCGCAAAGCCATATTTGATTCACTAGAAGAGCTTTTTGATCTCCCTTTACAAACCAAGCAACTCAATGTTTCTAAGGAGCCTTATCATGGTTATATTGGTCAATATCCTGTGGTTCCACTTTATGAAAGCATAGGCATTGATGATGCAAATGTTTTTGAGGAAGTCAAAAGCATGACCAACATCTTGTGGCCACATGGAAACCAAAGTTTTAGGTGTGCACAGTGAATCCTCAATTTGATTCCTAAATTGTTGAGATAGAACGCTACTAACTTTGTTTATTATTTTGCAGTAAAACTATACATTCATTCTGTGAAGAGCAAACAGAGTTGGATCACATTATTAGAAAGATGATTTTTGAGAGTTTAGGTGTTGAAAAGTACTTGGAGGAACACATGAACTCAACCAATTACCTTCTTAGGGTTATGAAATACAAAGGACCTCAAACAAGTGACGCAAAACTAGGTCTTAGCAAACACAGTGACAAGAATGTTGTGACCATATTGTACCAAAATCAAGTGGAGGGTTTGCAAGTTATGACCAAAGATGGTAAATGGATAAGCTACAAGCCTTCTCCTGGCAATTTTGTAGTTATAATTGGTGATTCTCTCCATGTAAGTTCCATTCACCATTCTTTATTACTAACAAATTATTCGCTGATCAATAAGTTTTATGTTTTGTTTTAGTACAACAAAAAGTCACATGTCATCTAGAAATTGAGACTACGGGTAGTTTGTATAAATAACACTCGCGTTCCTCACGTCATTAAGACGTCTTTTTTATATAGAACAAAATAGAAAAGACTAACACAAGGCCCAACGCAGATAATATATCTTATTTGAAGCCATGTAGAGGATGAAGATATACCAAGCTAGATAGCTCACCGACCCTTTAGCACTTTAGCCTCAATGGTGGACTATTATTCTTGTTGAGAAATATGGTTGGACCTAACTCATTCCTACAAAACCGACTTGTAGGGTGAGGATTACCTCCACTTATAAGGACATGTTCAAGCCATATATTGTCTGATGTGGAACTCTAACAAACACCCCCACGCTGGTATCTGGAGCGTAGAAATAAACTATGGGTGACCCGATAGCCGAAACCTGATAGCAGATGGCCCACTGGATCTTAAACCAGACTCTGATACCATGTTAAGAAATGTGGTTAGGACTAACTCATTCTTACAAAACCGACTTGTATGGTGAGGATTGCCCCCACTTAAAAGGACATGTTTAAGCCATATATTGTCCGATGTGGGACTCTTAACAATTCTCATACATTGAAAGATCTTATATTCTTTAAAAATTGAGGCTAAAAGTAGTTTATAAACAACATACACCCTTCTCATTCTACCGAATCAAACAATACTTCAGAAATAAGGTGTTGTAGAATTAAGGGCCTAGGAGACAATCGCACATACTTTTTAACTATATTGTTAAAATTTAATATTATGGCATTTATTAAACTATATTGAAAATTTTCATATAACATGAATTTTGAAGGCATGGTCAAATGGGAGGTTGCATCCCCCAATTCATCGGGTGATGATGAGGGGGAATGAGGCTAGATATTCGACAGCCTTGTTCTCTATCTTTAAAGGAGGGAGCATTATAAAAGCTCCGGAGGAGTTGGTGGATGAGGAACACCCTTTGCTCTTTAAGCCCTATGATCGTGTTGAGTTTCTCAAGTATTATTTCTCTGAAGAAGGCCAAAGGGATCAAAATGCTTTGCGCACTTTTTGTGGTGTTTGAACTAAGGTTATGTTATTGAAAGAGGGTGTGCCATATAAATAATGTGTTTACGTGCTTTATGCAGTTACAATCAAAGTCTGGCGTAAGTGGTTGGTGCAAAGTGTGTGTTATAAATTTTGAAGTACTGAATTTTATTCTTACTAATAAAATAAAAGATGTTGTACATGTTGTCATTGGCTTTGTAAATAGTATTGAGTGTTCAAATGTTGCCTACAAAATTACTACTCTGCTTTGTTTTCTTATCTTGATTAAAAATCAAATATTCTTGTGTGTAAGCACATATGCAAAGTTGAAGATAATATCAAATTAATTTGAATAAGTACTATGATTGTCAAGAATGGCTATAAAATTCATTGGACACTCTTCAAAAAAATCATATTCCATGTCATAGAAATAGACATCATAATTTATCAATTAATGATGAATCATGACGGTAGGGAATGGACAAATAAATGAAGATGGTATTCTTGTTTTATGCTATCACCAATGACGTTGATAGCTTGCTATCTTTCTGATGATGGTATTCATGAAACTCAAAAATCACTTGCATTCAAACTAGAACGATATCGGATGAATTAGTACACCAGTAAATTTCTTAGATAAGAACTGAATATATGGGGATAAAGGAGGTTTTGGAGTTGTGATTGAACTTCTAAGAAATCATCCAGATGAACATAACAGTAGAAATATTTGTGCATTTATGGTGTCCATGTAATCCTTATATTTAAAAAATGTTAGTAGACAATTTAATCTATAAACAGAGCTGGATCAGATTATTAGAAAGATGACTTTGGAGAGTTTAAGTGTTGAAAAGCACTTAGAGGAGCACATGAATTCAACCAGTTATATTTTCTGAGTTATGAAGTACTAAGGCCCTCAAACAAGTGACACAAAACTAGGTCTTACCGCACACTGACAAGAATGTTGTGACCATATTGTACCAAAATCAAGTGGAGGGTTTAGAAGTTATGACCAAAGATGGAAAATGGATACGCTACAAGCCTTCTCCGGGCAACTTTGTAGTTATAATTGGTGATTCTCTCCATGTAAGTTCCATTCACCATTGCTTATTACTAACAAATTATTCATTGATCAGTAAGTTTTTTGTTTTGTTTTAGTACACTAAAAAGTCACAGACGTCATTTAGAAATAACAGACACCCTCCTCATTACACTGAAACACCTTTTACCGAGGGAAAGTCGTGAACACTCACAAGATTCAAATGAGATAACACTGTAGAATTGGTGGATGAGGAACACCCTTTGCTCTTTAAGCCCTATGATCAAGTTGAGTTTCGTAACTATACTTACTCTGAAGAAGGCCAAAGGGATCAAAATGCTTTGCGCACTTTTTGCGGTGTTTGAACTAGGTTATGTTATTGGAAGAAGATCAAAATGCTTTATGCAGTTACTATCGAAGTCTAGCGTAAGTGGTTGGTGCACAATGTGTGTTTCAAATTTTGAATTACTGAATTTGATTCCTGCTAATAAAATAAAAGATGTTGCACATGTAGTCATTGGCTTTGTAAATAGTATTGTGTGTTCATATGTTGCCTACAAAATTTATCTTGAGCTTACAATATTACTACTCTGCGTTGCTTTCTTATTTTGATTAAAAATCAAATACTCTTGTGAGTAAGCATGTATGCAAAGTTGAAGATAATATCAAATTAATTAGAATAAGTAGTATGAATGTCACGAATGGCTATTAAATAATAAAACCTTGTCTTATTCATTGGACAATCTTAAAAAAAAAAACATCATATTCTATATCATAGAAATAGACATCATAACTTACCAATTAATTAAATGTGCAATTTTACTGATGAATCATGATGGTAGGGAATGGACAAATAAATGAAGATAGTATTTTTGTTATACGCTATCACCAACGATGTTGATTGGAAATTAGGTGCCAGATTGAGGGTTGAATGCTTATTAAATACTGACATTAAAATTTTATAAGACAGTAATGTGTACCTGCGGGATCCACTAAGTCGCCCAAATGGGAAGAGGTGCATTCTGAATTCTTGAATGTTGCTACACACCAGTCCTCAAAAATTGTCTGTTTCTGTTAACATGTCAAAGACAAATACTTTATAATCATGTTGTATGAAATTCATAATACAAATGTACCCTTTTTTGGATCACTTGTATGAGTTGTCAGACACGTGTTGTAAGGGTGTGTCATACGGGTGTCAGAACCGGTTTAAGAAGTGTTAAAACAAAGAAGAAGAAAAACTGGGACGCTTGTTTGAATTTTCCGACATGTAGCGTACGAGTGTCGTCGAGTCTCAGATACCGACGCATGTCGGAGACCACGACACGCCTAGTCCTAGATGTGTTTGTGATTCATAAGATTCTATTCAAGTTAGAGAATTGTGTGTGAAATATAGGTGTGATTCGTAAACTAACAGAAGTGGTTCGGTTAGTTTCAATGAAGTTTGGTTTTACAGTTTTTTAACAGGCCTAGCCTCCAAGACCATGGGGTCAGGTGTAAGAACGTTATCTTATGAATTGGCTTTTCAGATAAGATTAAACACAACCAATCAATTTATCACCTAATTTCTTTTTTTCCTTCAAAAATGCACAATCAACTGACGTTGTAGTTAAGAAACGTATAAACTAGAGGGCCTTTAGAACTCACAAGTAGATTAACACAAGATCTTTATAACAACTTAACACTAGTAGAACTCACTATAGATGGGGATGAAAGCAAACAAGAACAGTTTAAAATTCCTCTTTCCTAGATAAATGCATATCTTAGAAGGAGGCTGAAACATATTTGAGGTAGAATGTCTACCAAATGCATGAAGGACGCTGAGCTATCAAAGAGAGGAAGAAATAACCATGAAATAGATGAACCTGAGGAGAAGTAAAAATAGCCTAACCACCCCATCATAAAGGTGACAACAGCAGGACCTGTACTTGATTATGAAGCTAACAATCTAGCTTGTTATGTTTCTGATTTGGATATGACCTTCTTAACTTCTATGCCCTTATGGAAGCATCCAAATATGCAAACTTTAGTGCATCTTTCTGTAAGAAGTATAAGTGAAAGTCAAAGCAACCTTTAGATACTTACCTAATTTGCCAATATCAAAGGTTAAGGATGAATAAATAAAACAGTAAATTTCTTGAATAAGCACTGAAAATAGGGAGAAAGAATGTTTTGGAGCTATGATTGAACTCCTATGAAATCGTCCAGCTTAAGGTGATAACATGGCAGTAAAAATATATGTGCCTTTACAACGTCAATACATGTAACCCTTATGTTTAACAAATATTAGTATACAATTTAATATATAAACATTAAGCACATCGTAAATTATCAGACATCACAAACTCTACATCTCATCTTCTGTTCATTTCTTGTTTCCAAAATTATATGCAGTGATTTGCTTTTTAAAATTGAGAATAAGTCTGTTCTATGAACATGTTAATTTATTCATCAAAAGAATAATCTTTGTTCACATCTTTCAATTATTATTTCTTGCAATAGATATGGATCTTGAACACTTACAACCAGAACAACAAAACTACTGTTCTATCTAACAATGACATAGTAAGTTGCTTTCACCACCTTTTTCTTGCTTTCCATGTCAAGCTATATGTTCACTGTACTCATTGATTGGACTCAGTAATTCAGATTGGACTCGGTAATTCAAATTGGACTCTCATGTTCCCCTTCAACATTTTTGAACGGAGAGCTCATGTTAGGGATCAAAGATGAATCTGACTTTACAGGGTGGAAAAGAAAAAACAAAGCAGGGACAAAAACTGAATTTCACTATAATTGTAGGTTCTAAACATATATTAAATGAAAATAATGTGTAAAACAAGTTGATCCTATGTGTCGACTACATGTGAGGCATCAAAATGAATTTTTATTTTCCTAACTAACCAGATTCTAAAACATTAACAAAACTTGAGTATTGTTGCTGGTGAAGAGAGGCATGGCACAAAAAATTTAGCCTATCTCAGTTTCCAATAAGTGAGAGTTTTGATTGGTCACAAATACATTGTTGATCAAAGAAACTATTGATATTATAATTTACACTCGCCATTTGAAGTGCCAATTCATCAAGGATCGCATAGATTTCACCCTGCTCCAAATGGACTACATTCCCTGCAGAGAATGTGTATACCTTTTTTCTCACCTCAATCCAACTCTGACCAGGTACTTTTTTTAAACCTTTTTTCTTTGCCGAGACCCTGACCCTTGCAGAATCTTCCCATCTTTCATTTGCAGCATAAATATTGGACAGAAGCATGAAGCTCCCAGTTATTTCTGACTTATGGGCTAGAATTTGTGATGCTGTTTCTTCTATAAAGTCTGTATCTTTGTACATTCTACATGAGTTTAAAAGAGCTCCCCAAACACACTCATTAGGTTCAATTGGCATGTTTTTCACAATATTACTTGCTTCATGCAAAAGCCCAGCACGGCCAAGGAGATCAACCATGCATGAATAATGCTCTACATTAGGCTCAATCCTAAACTCTCCGACCATACGATCAAAAAGGTTGCGACCCGCAGCAACAAGACCAGCATGACTGCATGCAGATAGAACAGCAACAAATGTGATGTTGTCTGGTCTCATTCCGGCTTTAATCATCTCATCAAAAGTTCTTAAAGCATTCTCACCAAGGCCGTGCATTCCATAACCTCCAATTACTGAGTTCCATGAGATTAAATCTTTACCCTTAATATTATTGAATACTAAATGTGCTTCCTTGAAAACCCCACACTTCATATACATGTTAATCAGACCATTCCCCACCAGAATATTGTCATCCATGAGATTCCTAACTGCATAAGCATGGAGCTCCCTGCCAGAGTTCAATGCTGCTAGTTCTGCACAAACTGATAAAACACTTGATATAGTGACACAATTGGGCATTACCATCTTATTCTGCATTTGCCTAAACAGTTCCAATGACTCCTCGCCACACCCCTTGGAAGCAAAACCACTAATCACAGCACTCCAACTTATGACATTGGGTCTCACCGCCGGATGACCATGCGACTCCAGCTGCAAAAATACTTCATAGGCCTCATCACATAATCCAGATTCAGCATATGATGATATCAAAGCATTCCAACTTACTAAATTCTTGTTCTTTATGTCAGAAAATATTTTATGCGCATCACCCAGATGCTCGTGCTTCTTCCCATAAGTCCCTATCAATGCATTTTTCACAAACAAATAATCTTCATATCCACCTTTAATAACATACCCATGAATTTCTTTCCCCCGTTGAACTCCCTCCATATCAGCACACACAGACAACACCACCGCTATAGCTTCAGCACTAATCTCAACCCCCTTGGTTCTCATCAACTTAAACAACTCTATAGTTTCATCACAAAGTCCACATCTAGCATGACTTGACAAAAGAGAAGTCCAAGTTACATAATTTGGCTTCAAACCTTCCAACTCCATCCTTTTAAAAATCCCATAAGCACCAACAGAATCAAGATTAAAAGCATAACTCGAAACCAAAGTATTCCACGACAAAACACTTCTCACAACCATTCCATCAAACACTTGGCATGCATCCTCCATTCTCCTAACTCTCCCATACATACCCACTAATTCATTCACCACATGAAGATGACTCCTGAAACCCAATTGCAAAACATGACAATGAACAATCTTACAAATCCTAAGAACCCCAAGACAAGAACATGACTTAACTATCAAAGGCAAGGTGAACCCATCAGGTAAAAATCTAAACTTTCGCATTTGAACATAAAGTTGAATAGCATATTCGTAACACCCATGAGATACATTGGCTCTGATAATTGAATTCCATAAAAGGATGTTTTGAAGAAACTCAACTGGGGTGGAGTTGAACACTTTCCGAGCTTCGAAAATGGAACCGAAACGGGAGTATGTTGATATGAGCCTGGAGGATAAGAAGGGAGAATTGTGGGCGGTAGTGAGGATTAATTGGGTGTGAATTTGACGAGCTTGTTGGAGAGTGAAACATCGTTGAAGAAGAAGAGAATCGAAGAAATCGAGAAGATGGTTGTTGTAGATTGAAGGTGTGAGTTTCGCACATGAGAGTGATGATAACGGGTTTTTCATATCACTTTCAATGAGAGTGAAACAGGTTTTACAAATACATAAAAATATTTAATTTTTAAATTTCGCTTAATCTACAACTACATTAATCAAATGCCAAACAAAAATAACATTAAAAAAAATTCCACACATCCAATAGAATCGAATTATGGAAAATAAAATCAAACTCATGATTAATCCCCTCATAAAAAGATAGTACCAAATAAAATAAAAAATCAAAATTTTGGAATGTTTCTTTTTCAACACTGATCTATTAACAAAAAATGAGCTACTTCCAATGATGCACTAATAGTTAATCAAGCTATTGGCAGTTTGACACTATATCAACAACCAGTGAACCGTTAAGTTATCTTCCTATATATGTATGTAGACACCACAATAGCTATAAGTAAAACTATTATTGGAATTCCCATCAGTGTTGACACTTCAGCTGCCCTCGTTCAACCAAGTAATCAACCTTCCATTATGGTTGGAGATGTTGGAACAAAGGTGAAAGAAGAAGAGAGAAAAATATAAACCGAATGCAATTTATTCCTATATTTTAGATTAACTATTTCGACAGAACATTAAATTACAATTTTTAACACACCCTTTAATTCATGTTTTCAAGACTTCTCATCCTGACGCTTCTCTTTAACTCGTAAATCTGATTTTCTTCAGGGGTTTGGTGAGTATGTCAGTTAGTTGTCATTTTGTCTTGCAATGTTCAAGTTCATGCTTTCCTTTGATACCTTCTTTGTGCATGCTTAGTTCGACCATGACCCATTTGGTGATTCGCCAGGTCAATAGCTGACTTGTTGTCGACAAATAACTTCATTTTCCTAGGTTGCATAAACTTGAGTTCTTCGAGTAACATCTCTATCCATGATGTTTGACATGTTGCTATGATGCAACCACGTACTTTGCTTCACATGATGACGAAGCCATAATGTTTTGCTTCCTTGAGCTCTGTAATGTCTAGAGGTGGCAAACGATCATGTCTGCCCTGCAAAAGCTCGCAAAAAAAAACGGGTGGATGAGGCAGACATAGTTAAGGATGCGGGCCTAAAACCTAGCCCCACACTCGTACAAAATTGAGGGCAGAACTGAGAAATTCACGGAAGTTGCACTTTTTAAGACTAAAAACGCAAAAATTTATGTAAATGCTCATACTCGCAAAAGCCCGCGGATAAAATGGAGCGCGTCGGGCGAACGCGTTAGAGGGTGAGGGCCGAAACCCTTAGCCCGCCTTGCACTAAAGTGCGGGCAAAACAGACATGTTCAATGGGTCGGACCCGTTTTGCGACACTTAGTAACACCCTAAATTTGATTAAATTATTTAGATTTATTTTATTTTATTATTGTATGTTTATGTGGTTTAAAATAAATTATTTGAATATGTGTTATAAGGATGTGGTAGAACAGGTGAGAAGGTAAAGTAAATTAGAAAATAATTATAATAATTAGAATTTTAATTATTATTATTGATAAAATAAGATAAATTGGAGAAAATAAGAGTTTGAGCCAAGTGTGGGATTTGAGTCGCGGGTTTCTATATAGATGTTGGTGTGGGCTTCTTATTTGCCTCAACAAATCAGTCTGGTTTTAGAAGAAGAGGAAATAGATGATGGTGTGGGCTTGAGTCACTATTAATGACATCATGACCTTATGAGAATCCTGGAAGAAGATTTAAAAATATAGATTTAAAAATGAGAGACCAAAACCGAGAAAAATGGATAGTAGGTGGGCTAAAAATACAATTAAACCAAATATTTAATTTAAATTTGTTACATAGATAACATACTTTGACGGTGGTGAAGAACTACGTACAATCGCTCCACGAATCTGTAAACATTCCTACTTATTTCAGACCACACAAATAAAGTATTTTTTTTAACTTTTGTTATCGAAAATTTCATATATATTAAAAATTTTCAATATATCAAAAATTTACAAATTTTCATAAGTTTTTGATTTTTTCGAAAATTTTAATAATTTCTAGTATTGGATACTAGATTTTTTAAAAATTCAGATATTTTATATCGGATATTTTCAAATTTACGGTATAAATGCGTGCAATTTTCAAAAATACCAAAAATGACATATCAAAAATACTATTAAAATTTTTGTTTTATATGTTAAAAAAATAAAAATTTAAAAAATAAAATAAAATTTAATCGATAAATATTAACAAAAATATTTTGGAAATATTAAACGTTTGGGGGAGGCAGCTATAATATGAAAGTGTCAAGTTAAATTCTCATTATTTAATAGTGAAATTTAGCCCCTAAACTACTTATAAAAAATATTAAAAAAAAAAACACTCACTTCAGGAAAACAGAGAAATGTGGTTCAAATTCCTGTGCATGGAAACAAAAAATGGCCGTCGATGAATCAAATTAGCACATGTACCGAACTCTTCAGCGATAACCCGAATTAGGAAAACCAACCAACAACAACAACGTGACAAAAATTTCCACCTACCTACTTCCACCGCCGTATTCAATTCACCATCTAAATGAACAACTCATTTAAGACTTTCAACAAACACCTTCCTCTTCTTCCCTTTCATCATCATCATCATCATAAATTCCCTCACCACCACTTTTCTTATCCATTCCTCTCACCTTCCTCTGTCAATTACTCTCGCACAGCCACAATCTCTTGCTCTCAATTTCGTTCTTCATCATACTCCTCCTGTGAGTTTTCGCCCTCATTTCATTTCTTCCTCATAATGCCTGTTTCGTTATGTGTTCTGTGATTTTATTGTCAAATGATTGCATTTTTTCTTAGGGTCTGTGATTACTGATTATTGGGGTTTTGAATTTGATTTAATATGTTGTTGAGGTATCTCAATTATTTCATTGCGCAAGTAATTATGGCTGACATACATTTGATGATGAAAAGGCTCTACGATGTTATATGACCAGAGATGAGAATGTTGCGCTGGATGTGTGAACATGATAAGAATAAGATAAAAGAAATGATGATATTGGAGAGTGTTGGGGTAGTATTTATAATAGAAAAGATAGTGTAAAATAGACTAAAGTGGTTTGAGTATGTAGAGAAAAGATCGGTAGATTTTGTGGTAAGAAGGGTAGATCAAATCGGAGATGTCGAACAATTAGAGGTAGAGGAAGACATAGAAAAACTGAAAAACTATAAGAGAAGTTATTAAGAAAGATCTCGAAATTAATGATTTGCATAGAAGTATGGTTTTGGATAGTACATTATGAAGAAAGTTTATCCACCTAGCCGACTCTATTTAGTGGGATAAGACATGATTATTCTTGTTGATATTGTTGTTGTTGTGTAGTGTGTGGGTCAGTGCTTGATAGATACTCTATGTTTTGGACTTTAAAAAAATGTCATTGAAATTGTGGGTCGTTTTAGTTCAGATGTTACCCTATGTTGGAGAATGTATCAGATTAGTCCATAAAATTGAAAACTACATACAATTTTGTTCAAAATTATTTAATTATTATTGTTAAATTAGTCCGGTGAGTGTTGGTGTGGATTAAGATGATAGACAGTTTGCAGTTTTTGGAATTTTTGTTGTTGTTGTTGCAATTTCTCTTATTTTTGGGAGTAGCCTAACAATTTCTTCCTTTTATATAGCATCTCAATCTACTACATTTATGGACATCTTCAAAGCAATTGCTAAACAAGAAGTTGCAGCTCATGGTAGTGTTGCTATCAGAGCTGATCAGAAGAGTTATAGTTACAATCAGCTCATCTCATCGGCACAAAAGTTATCTAATCTCTTGTGTGAAAATGATGTGAAGGTAGTGAGCTATACTTTGGATTTTCTTTACTATTATCTTTGTGAGATGAAACTGTGAATGCTATTTGTTAGTTTTTGACCAATATGATATATGAAAGTTCCTAAAGATTTAGGTTCTATTTGAATTGATTTATTTGAGCTTATTTACTAACGTAAGCACTTAAGACATGCTCATAACTTGTATTCAACTTATTTCCTTAAACTCATCATGCTAGCATACACAGAAACAATTTTATTTTTTTTAATCTTTTATTTTAAAAACAGCTTATACTTTCTTTTACATAAGCGCTTGTGCTGAAAACAGTTATGTTACTTTCTAGGGAAATCTTGGAGGAGCTCGAATAGGAATTGTAGCTAAACCGTCTGCCGAATTTGTTGCTGGAATACTTGCAACTTGGTTTAGCGGAGGTGTTGTCGTTCCACTTGCGCTCAGCTATCCAGAAGTAGAGCTCCTGTATGTGATGAATAATTCGGTATGCTTTGGAAACTCTCCTTTTTCTTACATGACATCCCTTTCTTTTGTTTGTTTAACATCTAGCTTGTAAACATAAAGAATTCTGGACTCTATTAATTTTTCATCGACATTATCTTGATGCCTTTCATCTTAATCATCAAATAGCTGGTTTATATGTAGATTTTTTTTTTCTTTTGGGAAAGTAAATTATGTAAATATGCTACAAAATAAACCTTACATGTTATATATTTAATTTTATTGGATGTTCAGTTCGGAGAGGAATAAACTATTGAACAAGGGATGCTTTTAATTTGTCCCTAGGAAATTAACCCGAATTGAGACCCGGGTTTCTATACACTCAGGAATCTTAAATTCACACATTCAAGCAAATCCGGACCGACGAAAGAAGATCCAATGGTTGACTGTTAAAACAAATTTCGAGATCTGAACATTCTAATTTTTTCAAGGGCTGAGATCACCCCTGCAGTTCACTTGTTGTAGTGAATCCATTTCCCTTTATTAAAAGGGTCTGAGGACATGGATTGAACAACATGTACCTAAGGAATACAAAATTGGTTATTAGATAATGACAAGAAATGAGTTGGACTATATATATATGCTGCATTACCTTTATGCTTTAATTTTGGATTGAATCTTAATAAAAATTTGATTATAGGATGTGTCTGCAATACTGAGTACTGAAGATCATAGTGAGTTAATGCAAAGCATTGCCAACAAAACATCTTCTCGGTTTTTTCATATTCCGCCTGTTCCTAATAAGTCCTCCGAGAAGAGCAACAATGGGCATGCAAAAAATGGAGAAAGTGAGGCAGACAGAATTTTCCTGGAAAACATTGAAAGATCAAGTAAGAGTATCACATTCACAGCTGTTAAAAATTGGATAAAGTAGAATATCTTGGTAGCAGTTTTCTGAAAGTTCTTTCTCATATTTGTATTTCATATCCTTTGGTTTAGGTGAAGATCCAGCACTGATTTTGTACACTAGCGGGACAACAGGTAAACCTAAGGGAGTTGTTCATACACACAGAAGCATCCTTGCTCAGGTATGCTTTATGATTTATCTCTAGTTACATTTAGTACTACCTCAAATAGACAATTTCGTTACGATGATAAAATCCTCTTTCTAAAAAAACTAGATCTATTATTTTGCAAGTTACTTTGGTATAATAGTAATCAAATCATACAAATATTCTGTTTGTACTTTTATTTTAATTATAATGAACATTCATAATTGTTACTACTATTTTTTTTCATTAATTTTTGTTAATAAATTGTCTTGATTTTAGGTCCAAGCCTTGACAAATGCATGGGAGTACACATCAGCTGATCGGTTTTTGCATTGTCTACCATTACATCATATCCATGAAACCATTTTCTTATGCATTTTCAATACTTTTGTAATTGGAAAAAGCATATTATCATATTTAGTATATTTGCTTAAAATGTGATCTTGATATCTTTGTGATGTCAATCCTTAACATATATGAAGTACATGTCCATGGGCTTTTCAATGGTTTATTGGCCCCTCTCTACGTCGGTTCCTCGGTAATTTACTTTTCTCACTTCTTATAAAGCAAATACAATTAGTATCTATTCTGATTATATAATTTTTTCGTCCCTAAGAATCTAACTATCTTGTTGAAGGTTGAGTTTCTTCCGAAATTTAGTGTCAGTGGAATTTGGAAAAGATGGCGTGATTCATATCCAACTGAAGGATATGAGGCTGATGATGCTATAACTGTATTCACCGGAGTAAGTATGATTATTATCAACATTGAGCAAATCTATGATATGGTTCATTCTCACAAACCTTTCTTTGTGTATGTTTAAAATAAATTATCTTTGCCTGATATGTAACCATACAAAGACAGCATTTATTAGTCATATGACAGTGTTCTTTTCTGTTCCTAAAAACTTAATCACGTTTTTAAGAGGACTGGTTTTGTCATCCAAAACAGGGCAGTGGCGCAATTTGTTGCCCCTTTACTTGCTATTTTTGTATAACCTTTATTATATATGATTTATATTTTGACCGTTATTGCTTTAAAAATTCATGTCATATGTGCATATTATTACAATCAATTGTAGTGGCTATGATTGGAAAAAAATGTCTTGGGTGACAGCATTTTGATTTATATAATTTGTTAAATGAAGGTTCCAACTATGTACACTCGATTAATACAAGGTTATCATGCCATGGATCCAGAGCTGCAAGCCATTTCTGCATCTAGCACAAGGAACTTGCGTCTAATGGTAAGTGACTGTTACATGCATAAAACATTTTTGTCTCTTTAATGAAGAGAACAAATATATTTTTCAAATTTCAGAAGTTGAAGGTTATTCTTTTTAATTATTTTAAATTTGACTTAGTCAGTAGTGTGTAATTTAGGGTCTATTTTGATTGACTTATTAGAGCTTATGGAAACAGTTTACGACATGTCCATAAGATGTTTTCAGCTTATTTTCATAAAAACAACTTTTAGCTTGTATACGAAAATATTTTGACTATATTTTATCTTTTGCTATAGAAATAATTTATACACAATCACTTATATGATACGAGCGTATGCTATAAGCGTTAATCAAATTGTTTTTCCAAACAGGGCCTTATTGGTATGGTGATTTACCATGCATGGCTCACTGCAATTTATAATGTTATGTGTGATGACTAACCATTCTCAATCTAAAAAATTTAATATGTTATCATTCTATTACTTAGATGTGTGGGTCCTCTGCACTTCCTCAACCTGTTATGCAAGAATGGGAGTCCATCACTGGACATCGCTTATTGGAGCGATATGGCATGACTGAAGTAAGTAAACTTTTTAACAAATCATTTTAGCTAAAGTTTTTTTGAATTGTCAAGAATCATACACATTTTTCATTAATTTTGCAATGATTTTTTTAGATGAACCTTACACTATTGTATTGATATTTCTAGTTTGTCATGGCACTGTCAAATCCTTTGAAAGGTGAGCGTAAAGCAGGCACCGTTGGCAAACCATTACCTGGCGTGCAGGTTAGTTGAGCTTGCACTTTTTACATTTTCGCCTAACCATAGAATATGAGCTTTTTGATCACTCGTTTCCACTTTTGTGTATTCTATTTATGCAATAAGATCGTTTAAGCAACAGTGACAATGATTTTTAACTAATGATCTGGACATGCGTTACATTTTCAGGTTGAACAAACCAAATATATTTTTCTACTTCTTCCGTTTCATATCAAGTGTCGCAGTATAAAATATTTATTTATCATTTTAGATTATCGAGAACATAAATAATTTTCCCCACTAATATACCATTATTTGCTGTATCTCAACGCACCTGTCTACTTCACTGACTATGATTTAATAAGGGCATTTTAGTAATTAAAACTAATTTATCATATATATTTGTACATTCAATAATTTTATTAATATGTGCATATAGCCTTAAATGACACTTAATATGAGACAAAGGGAGTATCTTCTAACAACTCTCAAGAAAGTAAATATTTGACTGAAACTTGAAAAATACATGGAAATGTGGATGATTTTTTACTATTAACCGCTCAATGCGAAAGACGATATCTTGGCTTTTCGGTATGAATGGCAGGTCAAGATTCTTGCAGATGAGGAGCATGAGAGTGAGGAATCTGGGGTTGGTGAGCTTTGCATCAAAAGCCCTTCATTGTTTAAAGAATATTATAAACTTCCCGAGGTACTTTCAGGATGTTAATTTCTTGCATTTATTGATTCTGAAATCATCATTTAGTGATAATTATTACCTTTTCTTTTGATTTTTCCAGTACTATAAACAATTCCTTATGATGCTATGATGCACCATTACAACAATTACATTTCATAACTTGTTAGTTACTTGAAGAACAAAATTTGTCCTAAGGATAGAAATACTATATTAATATCAGTTACTGAAAGTCCGAGATTTCAAAGACAGAAAATAGTAAAGGAAATGTAATATCTCCCTCTAAGAAATTTTGTATTTTTTCCATGTAGGTAACGAAGGAATCGTTTACAGACGATGGATTCTTTAAGACTGGCGATGCTGTCACTACAGATAAAGATGGATATTTCATCATTTTAGGACGTAAGGAAATTTATATTTCTCATGCATAATTATGTAAGAAATTTGAATTCCTAGGACGTTATTGTTGAACTGGATCTTTCCATTTCTCCAAAATGAATCTTCCAAAAGTGAAAACCATGCTTGAAATATTATCAGCAAATTGTCAAAAAAATAGACTAAATTGCTAATAACTAGGAAACATGGTTTCTTCCAAATATTGTTACAATCATATTGGCAATAAATATGAATGTAATCGGAAGTTTCAATGTTGTTATTTTGATCCACTAAGCGAATGGGAAAGATTCATACATGTGATCTTTTAATCATAGTAGAAGTTGGATTGTGATGGAAGTAAAACCTATTGTGTTCATTCTATACTTTTTATTAGGTAAGAACGCTGATATCATCAAGAACGGTGGCTATAAGCTCTCTGCATTAGAAATTGAATCAGTAATAGTAGAGGCAAGTGGCTATAATTTTCTTATTCTACGGTTGTTAGCTGTTAACAGTACCATACATTTATGATACAATATTCACAATCAATCCTTTTTTGCAGCATCCAAATGTCTCAGAATGTTGCGTTTTGGGAGTACCGGACAAAGACTACGGAGAAATTGTTTGTGCAATTATCGTGCCAGCCGTGAAGAGCGAAGAAGAGTCAAAGCCTGCTCTAAGCCTAGCAGAGTTATCCACTTGGGCCAAAACTAAACTTGCACCTTACAAGGTATTGTTGCATGACCATTTTTGTATGTGTCAAATTATATGCATGTGGAGGGTGCCAAGTGAGAGCATGAGAAGCAAGAAGATTGTGCGGTCAATATAGAATCTTATGCTCTTTTCTGATACGCCACATTCACACTTATGCATAGATTGTTGAGCTAAATCTTTTGCTTTCTTATTCTTATAAATCGTATACAAGCTTCCTAGGAATATGCTTGTGATGCTGAATTACGCCGTAAACAATGGCTATAGTGGTGTTCTCTTTAGCACCGACACCTCTTAAAAAAAGTGTGTCCGTATCCATGTCAGTGCTCGAAACCGACACCGACGTGTCAGTGTTAGTTTAGTGTTTCCGGTGTCCGTGCTTCATAGTGTTACAACGCTATTTGTTAAATAGCAGTTATAACAGTTCTATATCATTGTAGCTAAAGCGGCTCTATATTATTGTAGCCTATAGTGGCGCTTTGCAGCGGATCTGAATTCGAACAAACCACTAATTTTTGTGATCCATGATTGACAACACCGATTTCTTTATGCTATTTTAATATTATGTCAATTGTGTCTCCTTGATGCATCAATTTATTATTCATCAGTTATGAGTTTCAAAAGTAATTTTCTTCTAATAATTTGTTTATTTCTTCAGATACCGACTCGACTTATCGTGTGGGAGTCACTCCCCCGCAATGCAATGGGGAAGGTAAAGTACTTTCGCATCTTGTGTCCTAATCATAATCAAACATCAGTTTCCTTTTCATTTCGAGGTAAAATATTCTTTAGTAAGCACAGTTAATTCTTCTATGATTAAAATTTCAGGTAAATAAAAAAGAGCTGAAGAAGTTGGTGACTTGTGAATGAGCATTATTTACCGGCAAAAGTCAATTTTTTGAGACCACTTATAAGATGGTGAAAATCTCAATTAATATTGTAGTAATTATTTAGATAAAAGAGAGGCCTTATTCTGGCTTTTTCTCAAGTTCAGTTAAGTTTAACCTTATCTTTAGGAAAGGGAAAATATTTACAGTAAGTGTGGCTTTTTTAAATTCATGAGAATGATTCAATGTAATATTATTTATCTAGACATATATATTACTAAATCTATAGAGTATTTCTGTCAACTATTGACATTTTTAAAGTTCAGTTACTTGAAAATTCTGCATTGCATGCTTCCTTAGTTTGAATAACATATGGTTTTTATTTGGAGGATCAAGTTTCATGAGTGAAAAAGAATACATAGATAATCAATAATACAAATTATTTAATGGTCACATGTCAGAGATACTGTATTATTAAAACTAACTGCAATAATATTTCAGCTCTGATATTGATAAACTGTAATAGTCTTGAATGTTCCATTTCAAATCCAGTTTTGAAATGTTATTGCTAACATCATTATAGTCAGCATATAAAGTTTCTTTGTGCAGTTCAGCATTTCACCTGACCCTGTCATATACAAATCTGATCTGATTCAATGATAAGCCACATAGATTAAGTGACAGTGGCATAATTTTTCATGTTTCACATTTATGAACAAATTAGAGATTCAAAACATGTACCAGATCCTGAGGAGCCAGGTCCAGAATTTGGAGTTGCAGGTGGTGATACAACTTTATTAACGACCTTTATGGTCCTGAGCGTTATCGAGGATATTCCCTTCCCTATATACATAAAAGCGGTTCTCCAGCAAGAAGTGCCTTCAGTTCAATATTTGGGAAACAACTCAGCACATCGGTCCTCTACTCCACCACTGATGTCGCACACTGCAGCATGAGGCAATGAATAGTTGGTTCCTGGGATATTAATCCCTTATCCCTCGCTTGAATCATCTGAGCATAACGGCATTTAAAAAGATGAAAAAGAAAACCGATCACATAGGCTTTTCATTCAAAAAGATGAAAAAGAAAACCGATCACATAAGGCTTTTCATTTAGACACTCACACCAATATTAGTAGACCTTCATATATGCCTAATTTGCAGGATGAAGTTGTGAATGAGCCATTAACAGTGTTTTAAAACTTCTACCTCGAAGACAGTAAATGGAAGACTCCGAAGACGGAGTCTGTAGGATATGATCGAGTTTGATTATAGAAAAGATTTTCTTCAAGCGAACCAGACTGACTATTCTCTGTAGAGGACTGACGTGGTGGTTGGAACAAAGACACATTTAATTGTGAATTCAAATGTGGCAGATAAGATGAAGTCATATATCTACATGGCCCAATCAATAGTTCAAGTCATACACTCCCATAATCTATTCTTTTTTCGGAGAGTTCCCTTCCACTATTCGTGATTCGTGTATGTCAAATAAAGAATCCAATTTATTTTGTTAAGTGGAAAGGAAATATCCAAATACATGTCTTATTCAAAAAAATAATAATGCATATTTGCAGCAATGAAATACTATTACTCCTCCTCAAAATGATTGATTACAAATATCTATGATTCATATTCTCTATAAAGGACCGGAAATCCCTTGCTTATGAATCATTGGAAAGTGCATTAACATGAATGCGACAGTAAGTAGAGGTAATACAAAAGTATGTAAACTATAAAAACGAGTCAAGGTAGATTGAAAAAAAAAACACATTTATAGAAATGAGTCACGTAGCCATCATACTTGTCACATATCCTTTTGTCATCATAGAACTTAGGATTTCCTAGTAAGAAGGCGGAACAACTTTCGCTTCTTCATAGGACTCGGAATTCTCTACTAAGAAGGCGAAGCAACTTTTACAAAAAGCATTGTCAAGACCATCTGCTTTCACGAAAGCAGAAACAATGGAAGAGTAGATGGAGTCCACCCCTAAAGAGAGATTATCTTTATGAGATTTATAAATACTTTTCTTTGATTTTTTACCCATATCACACTAACTTTATAGTTACAAGAAAATGAAATTTCAAAGAAGATAATTGCTTAACTTTGGAGAAAGAGAAAAATAATTTGGTAGAAAGTGATACCTATCCTTTTAAAGAAGACTATATTCTAGCATGTAAAGGGATCTCACCAAACACATCTAATCACTCGCACGCAATACGTTTTGGTTCACAAGAACAATAATGATGGTTCTTTTGAAAAAACGTTTGAAGCATGACACATTAAATGCACGGATCTCTAATGAAACTAAATAATACGACATTTGAGGTAGAGGTATCAAACCCCCATCTATCCATACACAAGCAAGGGTTTGAGGAGAAACTGTTCTAGGTCAACTATGTCGATCCCGACTGACCACTATGAGAGGGTCTCACTTCTTCTAGAATTCTCTCAGCACACGAGGATTATCCTTTTAATGATCACAAAGGATACCAACTACAAGTGTATCTAATGACTCTTCGGTTCTCACTTCTAACAAATAACGAGTTTATTATCTCTCTCTCTCTCTCTCTCTCTCTCTCTCTCTCTCTCTAATATTATATTACTAGGGTTTAAGATTAAGTCTCTCTCTCTCTCTCTCTCTCTCTAATATTATATTACTAGGGTTTAAGATTAAGTATATGGGCTTAGTTCATTTGTCTTTCTTATGTACTATTCTTTTAACCTATTAATATAAAGGCAAAATACCATTTTTGATCTCTTAATTATACCTTTGAATTTAGATTGGTCCCTTAATTTTTTTTTGTGTCAAATTGGTCCTTTAACTTTTAAAACGTGTCATGTTAGTCCTTTTGGTACTGTAGTGACGAATTTTTAAATTTTTCCGTCGCTAATTAGACGAAAAGGACTAACGTGATACATTTTAAGAGTTAAGTGACCAATCTGACAAGAAAAAAAAATTAAGGGACCAATCTGAACTTAAGGGTATAGTTAAGAGACCAAAAATGATATTTTGCCTAATATAAATATGAGGGTTACTACACATTGTAGTGTATCTGATTAGTTATTCATATTCTTTCTCTCTTTTTATATGGTATCTAG